ATTTACACACTGGTTAAACTTACTCTTTCAGACACAGAAGACACAGAAAAATGGGGCGTTACAGAGAGGACTGGTCGTGTGAGGTTTATACCAGTCAGCCAGAATGGGGGATTGGCTCTCTGGTGCACATGTGAGTGAATGGGCCATGTGGGAGGACGGCTCATTAGGTTTAGGTGACTCCACTGACTAATTTCCGCGTGATATGATTATATGAAGGTGATAATACTCGTGATTGCTGTTGTATTGCCATTTGTATGACAAACTGCATGATCATATAATTAAACAGTGACCAGATAAAAATATTTTAGCATCTGTGTGACTGTGTGGGGTGAGAGGGTTATCTAACCCTACTCATTGAATTTGGCGTTCACCCCTGCCTACTATTTTTTTTCCAGATAATAGAAAGAAAGGAAAAGCCCTATGGAGTTGAAACACTTATTATAGAAGACTGTTAATGATAGAAATACATGTGAATGTAAAGGTTAGAGTTCCGCAATTGTATTTCCAATTGGGTTATAAATTAAATAATAAAAGTACATATTAAAATATATGACTGTATTTGGATGCATATGTATAATTAAGTAATGGGCCTGAATCCATAATATCGAATAGGAATGTGAGATTTAAATAAGTTAGGCTTACTACGGGCTTCGGGGGCCTTAAGGCCCATACCAAGTCCTAGCTGGCCGGTCTGGCCCACGAAAATTGGGTCGTGACAATAATCCTCTCATGGAAGTTTGATCTTATCATACTAACTATATTAAATTTACTTTCTCTAAGAAAAAATCACCACAAAATTAATATAATCACCAATAGTAATTGGGATGTTTTATCTAATCTTAATTAGGATTAAAATTCTATTACGGCAAGTTTTTTCTAATCATACTACTATATAGTATATAATATATATTTATTTTATTTATTTATTTATTTATTTATTTATATTTACTTTCTCTAGAGAGGGAGAAAAAAGATCACCACAAAATTTATTTATTTTGTTAAATAATTTTTTTTCCTTTCGTTATTAAGATTTTGTATCTTGTGGAGGCAAAGTGTCCTTATTTGATGGATACTTTGCTATATATAGATATAACATGCTGTTTATGGACAATTAATTTATAGTGATTCTTTTATTCACAATTGTCAAATATATGTTAATTGCTTTTATATTTGATTACAACATTTATGTGACATCCTACCGAGTTGAGTCTTAGCATGGAGTCGAGTTGAGTCGAGTTAAACCAAACCCGGTTGGGCTAGAATGGGTTTATAAGTGTAGTTACTTGAGTGAGAGAAAAAGATCAAAGCATATGGGTGAGGATTTATTTATTTGCATTAAAAGGATCAAGCTTGGATTAAGTTTAAGCCTTGTACAATTGAGGTACCATTTTTAGAACTTTTACACACAAAGTCATGGATATTTTAGAGCCTACCCGTGCATACCCATTTCTTTTGATGGCTTACCCGTAATAACCATTTCACTTTCCCATTTTCATCTTTATCTTCATCTTCTTCATTTTCTTCCTTTCCTCTTCCACCCCAATTTTAATGGTAGTTAAGCCTTAACTTCACTTTTTCTTCTATCCAAGTAAGTAAACCTTCTTGAAGTTCATAATTGAATATGATATTAGAATTCATAAGAATTCTTATTTATAGGTGAAGGGAGTTCAAAAAGTGTAGAAAAAAGAAGTTAAAGAGGAGCTCAAGCTTGTGGAGTAAAGGTTTGATATCTCTTTTCCTTTACCATTTTCTTGCATGAGAATTTGTGTGGTGTGTTGCTCATGAGACCATATTGCTTTATGTTGAGTGGGAGGACTGGTATTGGTGAGAAAACAGGGGAGAACAGGGGAGGTATTGGATAAATGAAGTAAATATTGAGTTTATGTTGAAATAGGGCTTGCTGGAAATTTTACCAGTAACTTCATCTTGCTTTTGACCCCATTTAGTGATGGAATTAGGAAGTGTCATAGAAGAGTTATTTGTTACTCTATGTGTTAGCTTTACATGGGTTTTTGAATCATCCACATTCAAAATTGGAAGTTCATTTGGCACTTCTCGCGCTCGCGACTTTCAAGTACGCGCTCGCGACTTGTGCCCGATAACTCACTGTCTCTCATTTGGTGCTTTACAAGCTCGCAACTTTCAAGTACGCGCTCGCGACTTGTGTTTTCATTCATTTTTGGACTTCATTTTCAATGCAATTGTATTCCTTTGCTTCACTTATATGCCTCCAATCATTTTAACATCAAACACAACATTAGAACATGTATCAAAACAACATGCAAGCATGCAAATGATGTGAAATCAAATATACATTATGAATTATGAAGTTATGAACTATTAATAGTTGTGTTATATTATTGACATACCAACATTATGCTTTCCATTGAGGTTAGGTAGAAACCATGTAGATAAGGCTATGTCGCGACATAGGAGATAGCAGATCTGCACCTCAAAATACAGTTTGATACTCCGGCTACAGGGCCGTTTGAGTGGATATGATTTATATATGGGCCATAGCAGCCCAAGTATACAGTATTCATCCAGTTTCATACAGTTTTTTCTTATCACTTCGGCCTTCACTATAACCTTATGGAGCCAATTACAGATATCTTGACATAAACATTTCATGAATTATACAGTATTATTGAACAGTACCAAGATAATTTCAAGGGTATATGAAGTTATCATGATGTGTGTGCTTATATGTGCCATATGTGTTTACATGGTTCTTTCTTACATGTATTGTGTTTAATTTGTTCTTTATCTGTTGAGATATCCACTGAGCTTTATTTGCTCAGCGAGTTAACCTGTTTAAACTCGCAGTTTTTGAGATTGGACCGTAGAGAAGTCAGCTTACAACTGCTGAGTCTCATCTTGGTAGAAGACTCAGTCTTCAGGGTAGCTACTTCATTTTAATTATAGTATCTTTGTCTACCCTTTTTATTGGCACTGTACAGGGCACTCAGTTGCCCCATTCATTTTGACACTAGTATCATTGTTTTGTAAATATAAATTACATTATTTTTTGTATACAACAATCAGCATGATTATTATATTCAATTATACTTTATGATTTCAGCATGTCAGTTTCAGCATGTCAGGCCATACAGTCAACCAGTTTGTAGCGTCTCGGTCCGGTTCATTCGGGTTTACGGGTGGACCGGGAAGGGGTGTTACAAATTATCTATTACTTTTGTAAGAAATTTAATACTCTTCAACATAAGGTTGATTTTCTATATTTAATTAAGAAATTTAATTTTCTTCTATGAGATTACAAATTAAAGGGGTGAGTAGACATGACCACTCTTCGGTTCTGAAATGAAACCTAACTGATTAAAATTGATATAAAACCATGGTCAATAGTGTTTGGTTTCAAATTGCAACTGAAACCATATATTTATAGTTTAGCTGTGGTTCTTCATTTTTTGCAATCCAGAACTGGCATTTCAGTTTCGAATCGTGAAAAAAGAAAAAATTAAAGAAACTCTCAATTTGTCGTTTTGTTTTATTATAATTTTTGAAAATAAATTCTAGACTTTTTATTAAGTTGGTTTATTCTTTTTCAATATTATTATTATTATTATTTTATTTATTATTATTATTATTATTATTTATTCATTATTATTATTATTATTATTTATTCAAGTATAAATCTAAAAATGCATTTTGAAAAGCTTAAAAAAATATTTATCTAATTTTGATTCCAAGCCGAAACAGAGTTGAAACAGGAGGTCCTAAAACCATTTTAGAAATCAATTTAAACAGCCTAAAATGGTCCAATTTTGGTTCCAATTTTCTTATGACTGTGGTCAAGCCTAAGGGTGAGGGTGAGATTCATACCCTAATGCAAAGGATATTTGCCTTGGCTATTAGGTAGTAACTTTATCCCCTTGTTAGATTATGTTGTAAAGTCTCATTTTTAATAATAAAATTCGACATAAATAGAAAATTGTACGTATAAATGCTGGATTTTACGAAATTTAATGATTTTATGTCAAAATTTTATATGGATTTTTTATTTTTTAAAAAAATAATTTTTATATGGTTTGGAGATAAGATTTAGAACCAACTTTTTCTGTTTAAATATTATTTTAAGTTAGGAAAGATCTATGTCATAGCTAATGGCATTATTAAAGAACTAATATTTGAACTTACCAACTTAATTAGAATTTTTTTTTTTTTTTTTTTTTTTTTTTTTAGTCGCTCAATTAGAAATCTTTTAAAGATCAATATTTTATAATTGACATTAAAAGAAACTAATATTTAATTATAATTCTAATTATCACAATTAAAAATTTTTTTTTTTTTTTTTTTTTTTAGTCGCTCAATTAGAAATCTTAAAGATCAATATTTTATAATTGACATTAAAAGAACTAATATTTAATTATAATTCTAATATCACAATTAAAAACATCAAATAACTAATACTTGAACTCAATTACTATGATGATGATTAATATTTATATCTAATAGTAAAAATTAAAAAAAAATTATATTCAACATTGAAATTTTAATTAAAAAGATATATATTATTAAGGATTAATATTTAAATTCAATTAGAAAGCCTCATGTTTGAAATTTTAAATTTATTATTAAAAAATATTAAATCACCACCATTCATATTAGGTAATGAATACATATTTGATGATAAGAATAATAGTTGATTGTTATTTCTATTTTAGATATGTTATAATGACATAAAGTTAATGTAGCCTATTTTTCATTATTATTTTATTTTTTCACGACTATAACCAATTAATATTATTTTTTTAATACTGATTTCCTATAAGAAAATTAAAATTGATTGATAGTTTATAATTATCTAAATAAAAATTTATAAAAAATATTATTTTAAAATTTAAATCACGAATATATAGAATGAGATAATGTATATCACCTGACACTCTATTTTGGAAATTTCATTATTATATAACTTAATATTTGTGATTTGTAAGTGACTCTATCGAGTATATATATGTGTGTGAGCACTTCAATTTATATAAACCATACGAATATTTCTGTAGTCCAAGAACAGAAGTATTTCTGCTAAAAAAAAAGAAATAAGAAGTTGTTAGCAATGGCGAATCTTTCCTTCAACCATTTCCTCATCCTTTTCCTTATTTTATCAGGTATTATTCTGAATAATTCTATTATGTAATTATAATAATAAATTAGAATATCAAACTTTTATTAATATATAATATTTTTAATTTATGCAGCTTCATCTATGATCCCCAAAGCAAGAGCACAGAAAAGGTGTCAAGCGATTTTACATCCAACGGGATGTGTACTGTACGATTGTAAGAAAGAATGTTTCGAAAAACATAACTCTGGAAATGGGATTTGTGTTGAAAACGCATCCATGACAGATTATGCTTGCTATTGCTTTTGGAATTGCTGATCCTTTGTTATTCCTTTCTTGTTCCTTCTAATAATTTTCAACTATTGGATTATTACTCAATGATCCAATAGTTCATCGTGATGATATCACGTTTAAATGGTCGATATGTAATAATTCACAAATGGAACTATTTTAATAAAATGGATTATATTTAGAATGAGCTTATATATCATATTTATTGCGTAGAAATGAGAGAGATTATCAAATCAGAAGCTCAATCCCTGAGAATGCCACGAATAGGTCAATAATTTCCTGCACATAATTATTAATATTTGTTAATATTTGATCGATTTTTAATTATGATGCACATATTTGTTAATATTTTCATGCCATTGTTTAGTACATGAGAGTTAAAGATATAAACACTTATATCACTAGAGCACGAACCTTAGTAAAACTTTATATATGGATGTATAATATGGCTACAACGTTCCTTAGAAATATACTAGTTATAAAAGAAATTGTTATTGTCATTTACACCTTATCAATACGCGCAAGAATTTATTTATGGCATATTAACTGAATGTAAATTTAAAACTAAAGTGAGCACCGCTAAAATTTAAACTTATTTATAGCGTACTAATTGGTTTTACAGATATGCTAAACGTGGCCGCAGTTTTTTCGTAATTACACATATTTAAGATATTTTGTTGCAAATCCGATAAAAGCATAGTACGTATTGAATTTTTAACATCTTCAGATATATTTTTCTATTTTCTAAAACACCAATTTAGGATTGAGTCATGTCAGAACTCCCAATAACGGCTTATTCTTGATTAGGTATAGAATCAAATCAAATATCAGTTGGTAAGATGTGGCTATATCTCGAGAATGTACGAACAAATTGGTTGAAATGCTACTAAAATAAAAAAAGAAACAAAATAATATTATAAGCCGCGTCTAATGTATATATGACTCTGTGCATTTTGCTAACTGGGTACTCAATTGAAAAAGTTTTTCTGATCAAACGCTCAAATAGAAAAAATGTGAAAGTTTAGACGCTAAAATAATCATTATCTCAATGAAAATTACCTTTTTTTTTTATTTTGTCATTCGTTATTGCATACACTCTGCACTATTGACAGCGGTTTCAAAGTGCACCAGAGACAGTACAATCTATTATAAAGCTCATTGAAAATATCACAGCCCAC